CACTGAAATCATTATCCCAATCTGCGCAGTTGTCGGAATTATCTTCTCTCTCTTCCAATGGTATCTAGTCTCCCAAGTCAAACTCTCGCTGGAGAAACCCTCCGCCGACGACAAGAACGGCTACACGGAAGCGTTGATTGAGGAAGAAGAAGGAATCAACGACCACACCGTTGTTCAGAAATGCGCTGAAATTCAGACCGCTATTTCGGAAGGTAAAATTTAGTTTGAATTGGTAAATGTTACATGATTTTTAGTTGAAAAATATTTTGAGAATTGAAATCTGAGAATTTGTGGTCATGATTTTTTATTGCGTATTTGGAATATTCTATTCCTATCCGTTCTTCCTTCTTTTATTTTACTTATTATATTATCTCGTTCGTGAATTGCTGTTTAAGCTCAAGTGGTTCTATTTCTCAAGTTTCATATTTTAATTTCTGATTTACAATTTCGAAGTTTACCTAGTCTACTTAATTTTATAATTGCAACTATGGTTGAATTTTCTTCCAAGAATGATGCTGTTTGGTGGGAACTTTTGGTCCATATTGAGATCTAGCTTTTCCATTACTTAAATACTATTATTAAATTTCACTATTGTTATAGCGGTGGTTGTTGAATCGATGGGATACATATGATTCTTTATTTACACGTGTATGTAGAGTTAGATGCAAGTTTTCATACTTAAAATTTCCAATATTAAAAAAACATTACAACCAATTTGATATTAATTTCATTTCTTTGATCTTCTGCAACTTTCAACATCGTATAAATCTTGAGAAATGTGATTTCTCCACAGTCGGTGGGATATTGTTGGTTGTCGGTGGCATATTCTTATCTGAATTAAAACGATTCGTGGGATCTTTAAATTTAAGGCATCTTTGTGATTCAAATGCGATTGCATCTGATGTTGTTTTTAGATCTAGTTGATTTTTAAAACAGAAAATGGTTTATCAGGAGCCTGAACCACATTTTTATTCTTCATTTGTACTTATAGAATAAAACAAGATATACCCAAAAATGTATGTAATTTTTATAAAGAAAACAAAACAGTTGCCATTCCACTGTCTTTTACTGACATGACCAGCTCATATAAAGTTAAAAATTCACACCATGTTAAAATCGAATATATTAATAACTGCATTGTTTTTTTTGCAGCTATGATACATATTCTTGTTGTTATGAATTATCATTTACATTAACTTTAAACTCTCTTTTATCAATAAAACAACAACAAAATTTACTGTAATTCAATAATTATATGCTAATTAAGGCATCTCCAACCCAACACCATTTTTGTTGTTAACATCATTTTTAGTGTAAATTTGCAACATTTTCTACACCATTTTTGGTGCAAAAGGGTCAATTTTTTTTGGCTCAAAATTATGTTTATGGACATCTTAATAGTAAATACTTAATTTTTTTTTTTTGATATTGCAGGAGCAACCTCCTTTCTAATGACTGAATACCAATATGTTGGTATTTTCATGGTGATTTTTGCTGTTCTAATCTTTGTATTTCTGGGATCTGTTGAGAGTTTCAGCACAAGTAGCAAAGTATGCACATATGACACCACCAAAATGTGCAAACCTGCTCTAATGACAGCTGTCTTCAGCACAGTCTCCTTCATCCTTGGAGCTGTCACTTCAGTCATTTCCGGGTTTCTTGGAATGAAAATTGCCACATATGCAAATGCCAGAACTACCCTTGAGGCTAGAAAGGGTGTTGGGAAGGCTTTCATTGTTGCATTCAGATCTGGAGCAGTTATGGGGTTCCTTCTTGCTGCAAATGGTCTTCTTGTGTTGTATATCACCATTAATCTTTTCAAGATTTATTATGGTGATGATTGGGAAGGTCTTTTTGAGTCTATTACTGGTTATGGACTTGGTGGTTCTTCCATGGCTCTTTTTGGTAGAGTTGGTGGTGGTATTTATACAAAAGCTGCTGATGTTGGAGCTGATCTTGTTGGAAAGGTTGAAAGAAATATTCCCGAAGATGACCCTAGAAATCCAGCGGTAAAATCTTTACTTTTTTAAATCTACTTTTATGAGGCTATAGGTATTACTGTAATAGTACAGATTGTACTGTGTTTGGTGTGCATTGGACTGACACTGATGTTAATCAGACAAAAGTTGCAATCTTTTGTCCCATCAAAAAAGTGGCGCTCTCAATCTCTTATGATAAAGTCATTGCACCCTCATCATGAACAAAGACGATAAATGACCAAATTGCCCTTCATCGAAAAAAATACAAAATTTTTAACATTACTATAACATGAACAAAGTTTTTCACAGAAATTGTCAATGTAGTGTTTAGTTAGACTAGGAAGTATACTGAAGTAAAATGACCAAAATACCCTTCATAGAAAAAATACAAGTTTTTTGACATCACTTCAAAATGAACAAAGTTTTTCACAGAAATTTTCACTGTAGTGTTTAGTTAGACTAGAAGTATACTGAACAAAGATGGTAAAATGACCAAATTGCCCTTCATAGAAAAAGAATACAAGTTTTTTTGACATCGCTTCAAAATGAACAAAGTTTTTCACAGAAGTTGTCACTGTAGTGTTTAGTTAGACTAGAAGTATACTGAATAAAGATCGTAAAAGACCAAATTGCCCTTCATAGAAATTTTTTTTGAAAATTTTAACATTACTCCAAAATGAAGAACGTTTTTCACTGAAATTGTCAAGGGTACGGTTTACCTTTTTAGTTTTTGTGCGGTGAACTTATGTATCAAGGGGTATTCTGGTAATTTGTTGCAGGTTATTGCTGACAATGTGGGTGACAATGTTGGAGACATAGCTGGAATGGGATCTGATCTTTTTGGGTCATATGCAGAGTCTTCATGTGCAGCCCTTGTTGTTGCTTCCATTTCCTCATTTGGAATTAACCATGAGTTCACTGCAATGATGTACCCTTTGATTGTGAGCTCTGTAGGCATCCTTGTATGCTTAATCACCACCTTGTTTGCCACTGATTTCTTTGAAGTCAAAACTGTTAAGCAAATCGAGCCCACTTTGAAAAACCAACTCATCATTTCAACTATTCTTATGACTATTGGTGTTGCACTTGTTAGTTGGGTTGCTCTTCCTTCTAGCTTCACCATCTTCAATTTTGGAACACAAAAAGTCGTCAAGAACTGGTATATATTTCATCTTTTTACTTCTTTATTACAAAAAAATGATTTTTTTTTTTCTTCGTAAAAGTTTACATTTTTTGTTATTTGATGCAGGCAATTGTTCTTGTGTGTCTGTGTTGGTTTATGGGCTGGTCTTATTATTGGATTCGTAACCGAGTACTACACTAGCAATGCTTACAGGTACATTATTTTTATCCAAACATGATCATGGAACAATGGAACATTGGAATGTAATTACTCATTCCATTCCGACTTTGCGATTAACTTGCCTGTTTCCATTCAGCCCCGTGCAAGACGTCGCCGATTCCTGCCGTACCGGAGCCGCCACAAATGTAATCTTCGGCCTCGCCCTCGGCTACAAATCCGTGATCATCCCGATCTTTGCAATCGCCGTCAGCATCTTCGTGAGCTTCACCTTCGCCGCCATGTACGGAGTCGCAGTCGCCGCCCTCGGAATGCTAAGCACCATCGCCACCGGTCTCGCAATCGACGCGTACGGTCCCATTTCCGACAACGCAGGCGGAATCGCCGAAATGGCCGGAATGAGCCACCGCATCCGTGAACGCACCGACGCCCTCGACGCCGCCGGGAACACCACCGCCGCCATCGGAAAGGGATTCGCAATCGGATCCGCCGCGTTAGTCTCCCTCGCGCTATTCGGCGCGTTTGTCAGCCGCGCTGAGATCACAACCGTTGATGTTTTGACTCCCAAGGTTTTTATTGGTTTGATCGTGGGCGCGATGCTTCCGTATTGGTTCTCGGCTATGACTATGAAGAGTGTAGGGAAGGCTGCGCTTAAGATGGTGGAGGAAGTTAGGAGACAGTTTAATGAGATTCCTGGGTTGATGGAGGGAACTGCTAAGCCTGATTATGCCACGTGTGTTAAGATTTCTACTGATGCTTCTATTAAGGAGATGATCCCACCTGGTGCTCTTGTTATGTTGACTCCTCTTATTGTTGGGATTTTGTTTGGTGTTGAAACGCTTTCTGGTGTTCTTGCTGGATCTCTTGTTTCTGGTGTACAGGTATCTCTTACTTCTATTTCTTCCTTTTACAGCGTTGTATTTTTACTTACTTTTTTTTTTTTTTTTTTTAATGATACAGATTGCTATCTCTGCATCCAACACTGGTGGTGCTTGGGACAATGCTAAGAAATATATCGAGGTATGACAATTGAAGCATTTATATTTTATAGCTTCCTATATTTGTTTTTTACTATTAAAATATAATGTGTTAATTTGTTTAATGTTAGGCGGGTGTTTCTGACCATGCAAAGTCACTTGGACCAAAAGGGTCAGATGCACACAAGGCAGCTGTGATTGGAGACACTGTTGGGGATCCTTTAAAGGACACATCAGGACCATCACTAAACATCCTAATCAAGCTCATGGCTGTTGAGTCTCTTGTGTTTGCTCCATTCTTCGCCACCCATGGAGGACTTCTGTTCAAGATCTTTGAGTAAGGATACGAATTATGATCCCTCCCCCTCTTGTCTTACTATTAGCCTTTTGAGTAGGCCTATTGTGTTGTGTCGTGTCATATGTTTCTTTAGTTATATTACTTCAAGTGTTTGTTTATTTTTGGAGTCGTTTAGCATCTTTAAAACTTGTCATGTGTCTATTTTTGATGTTTTGTTTCGGCACTTAGCAAATTTTCCATTTGGGATTCGATGATGTATTGCTGCTACTATGACATGATTGATGATGATAAGTAGTCGATCTCATGATGAGTTTGAATATGGTTACTATGCTCCTTCCTTCAAATTGAGTAGTAATTTGATTAGCAAAGTTTCAAACACATAATATGAAAGGTACTTTAATGAGAGCTTTATTTAGTACTACTAAATAGACCTTAAACTCCATCTACTACAAGAAACGTTTTAGAGTTTTACAGCATCAAGAGCAACAATGCCTTTCTGAAAGCATTCATGGTTAAATACTGCATAGTTTTTCACGGTTTTGTACACCCTTGGTCTCTTCTCATCAACCAAAACATCCTCAGGACTAATCTCTTTGTTTGGATTGGGTTCTGTAAACATGGCCACTGATATTCGTCCTTTCTCCTTGTTTGTCACCACCCTATGAACTGGACTCTTGAAAATTCCGTTGCTCATTATCTACAAAACCAAACCAAACCAACAAAGGATTTAACCACTTAAACATTGTAAACTATTAAAATCTAATGTCAGCTAGAGCTAGACATAACCATTTAACGATTATTGGCAACTCTTTTACCTGCATTTGGTCACCAAGATTAACAAAAATGGCATCACGGATAACAGGAACCATGAACCATTTACCATCATTCAACACTTGAAGCCCTTCAACTCCAGGATCTTGCAACAAAAGTGTAATCCCTGATCTATCTGAATGAGCTTTCAGACCAAAAACTTTATCAGGCATCGGACATGGTGGGTACAAAATAAATCTCCCTTGAAGAACATCCCTTTCTTCCATAAAAAATTTTGAAAAACTATTCTCCTCCAAATCCAACGACTTTGCCATGGCTTCAAATATAACCACAGATATAAACTTGATCTTATTGGTATACTCATCAATGGTCTCCCTGCATAACGTACAACTCGTAATGACAAGAGTACAAGTAATTAATGCGTCCTGATGAAATGAAATGAAATGTAATGTACCTAAGATTTGATGGGTTTTGAGGCCAGAAGCGGAGTTTTCTTTCATCTTCCGGAAGAATCCGAAGGAAAAGACGATCACACCAATCTTGAGCTTGATTTTTGGAGTAGGTCATGTCGTTTCCATAGCCTTCAACAGAACCAGTTTCTCTGAAGTATTTTGTTTTCTCCTCTAATGGAAGCTCGAAGAACTTTTTGATCACTTGTCGAACATTGTCTAGATATGAATCTGAAAGACCATGATTCACAGCCTGATACAGTACATAAAAGCTACTTAATTTCATTAATTTGAAGAAACCACAATAATTTCTACCACCATTAATTCTCCTGTTATTGTCAAGATTAGTAAAACTAGGAAACATTACGTATTTGAATATGAATAGCGAAAGAAAGTAGACCTGAAAACAACCCCAGGTAGAGAGTGCTGATCTGAGTTTAGCAAGTTCGGTTTGTTGATCATCTTGTTTGGCAGATGAGAAGAAGCAGCTGATATCAATGATCGGCACCGGAGCAAAAGGAGGGGAAGTTTCCAAAGGTCCAAATTTGGAGTAACTGGTGGTGGCGTTGAAGATGTAGTTGGGAGGTGGTTGATCGCCGTCCATGGCCATCTGCTGTGCGGTTTTCACAGGGAGTGAGTCTGTGGAAGCCATGGCTGAATCGGAAGCAGTGAGAAATGAAGAAGGAAATGGGGGATGTTTCAAGGATGAAAAGACTATTTTAATTTTTATGTGCCCGGCCAAGTTATAATATTATATATTTATAGCTGTTGTTTGCATTCGGTTATTAATAATGACACAAAACAAAAACATTAAAACGGTAGTTTGTTTTCTGATTGAATTTATTACTATTTTGAAATATACATGTTAATTTATTTATTTGTTTTTAAAATTTTTTTTTTAGAAACAGTAAAATATATTAAAAAGGCCCAACACTCAGCAAGTGACTAGGCAAGGGCAAAGAAGAACAAACATAGTTTTTAGTTTATTACATGGGGAAAGGGGGGAGTAATTCTAATCTATCCAATTACTAACTCGACCATTGTCCCTGTATTTGAGCCATAAATATGCCAACGTATTGATGTTTTCAGTGCCTCTATAAATTGTAATAGATATTCCTCGAAATAATCGGTCATTCCTAGTCCTCCAAAGATTACATAGCAGACTATAACAAATACATAGCAGTTTAATGCATTTTTTAGGGCACCTACCCCTTGAGGCTGCAAAATGAAGGAGTTCACCAACATCATTGAATTCTTCTTTGTTTAATCCACACCATTCGAAGATCTTGTTCATTATAAGTCTTGCGTATGAGCATCTCATAAGAATATGATCATCACACTCAACTTCACCAATATAAGTTACACATAGTGTCGAGTCGATATTCATGCCACATGATTGTAATGCTGTAGTAGATGGAATGAGTCTTTGTACAACCCTCCAAACAAAGCAAAACACCTTTATTGGGATAACCTTGCACCAACTGATCAATAGAAGATTGGAAGAGTGTTGTGTAGATTTGTCTAGTCTCCTTCTGATTGTTGCCACCGTGAAACTTCCTTCTGGAATTAGCAATCATGTCCATTTGTCATGACCATGTTGTAGTTGACACGAAGCAATTTCCTGTTTTAACATGTCTAATTTTGTGGATAATCCTGCAACTAATAGACAAGATTGCCATTCCCAAAAGTTACCGGTATTTACGATACGAGAGGCAACAGAACATGATTTACGTAATTCTAAATCATAAAGTGAAGGATATTTCGTTTTTAGTTTCTCATTATTCATCCAAGTGTCCTGCCAGAACATGGTATTTTCGCCCGATTTTATCTCCTGTCCAAAAATGTCATTAAGATTAAGTCCAGCTCCCTGAATATCTTTCATGGTCCCTACAATATTTTTCTACACCCCAGTAATAGTTTTCTTTGAGAGATAATCATAAGGTTTATTAGAACGACAGTGAATACCTGTTATAACCTAACTCCAAAGTGATGTTGGTTCATTTTTCAAACGCCACCACCATTTGACGATGAGCCCCATGTTAAGTGCATGTATTGATCCTACACCTAATCCACCATTTTCCTTTGGTGTTGATACTTTTTCCCATGATACCTAGTGAATATTGTTTTTCCTTTCTGTCCCCCCCCCCCCCCCCCCCCCCCCCCAAGGAATTTCCAACAACTTTTTTTTTCAAGTGTATCAACCACTGTTATTGGGGCTTTGAATATTGAAAGGTAGTATGTGGGAAGATTGCCTAGGACAGTGAAAGGTAGTATGTTTTTGATTTCTATGACGAGAGCTTAGAATGAAACTTGTCAATAATTGGTTTCCAATTTTTTACCAAGTTCATATTAGCCCCAACCAGGACCTCGAGGTAAGTGAACGGTAGGGAGCCAGCTTCGCATCCAAGGATGTTGGCCCAGTTTGAGGTTTCAACATTCGAAGCTCTAATACCAAAGACTTTGGATTTGAAGAAATTGACTTTGAGCCTTAAAGATGCGTGAAAACATCGTAGGATACGAGCTAGGATTTTAAGATTGGACCGGGACCACTCTCCGACAAACAATGCATCATCGACGTAGAATAAATGAGAGATCAATGGTCCACTTTTAGGGATTTTAATTCCTTTGAAAATTCCTCTTTCAATCGCCGCTTTGAGAGCTACGTTAAGACTTTCCATTGCAATGATATTAAAAAAATAAACAATCATAAATATGATGAGTAATTATGTATATGGTTTTATATTAATTTACATTACACTTATGAATAAATGCTTTTTAGTCATTTACTATTTTACTTTGAGCACCTGTCAGTTTTATTCCCTAAATAATAGTTACAATTGCATTCACTCCATACTCAGGGGCGGTCCTGGCTAGGTGTCCGGTGTGGCACCGACAACACCTAGCTTTCGCATACATAGTGGAAAATTTTTGGATTTTTTAAAAATTTTTACTTGTTGTGCCACTACGGAAAAAAAATCATGCAGTTATTACAATTTTTTTGTGCAACTATGTAAAAAAAATGTGTCACTCTATCAGGAATTACCAAGCCAAAAAAATAATTACAAGTTTACAACTTATAATTATCCATATAGGAGCTCAATGTTTTAATCCAATATTGTCTATTAATTGTATTTATAGCCCAAAGCCCTAAATAAAAAATGAATTGGACAAAATAATCTGATCCTAATTGCTTGTAAATTTTCAGTTAGAAGAAAGGAAAAAAAACGCATGAGGCAAGCTTATTTTCCTTTCTACCCACTGTTCGACTGTTCTGTCATGTTTCTTCCCCCTGCATCGAGCCATCGACAAAGCTGAAGGAGTAAAGGGCAAGGCTGCGTTTCTACTTTCTTGATTACCAAATAATTTTAATTCTATGAGTTCGTTGGCAAACCATCAAGCATCCGAAATCTTAGCATATTTTAAATCCTATGAGTTCATGCTTTACTTATGAGTAAATTACACGAATGGTCCCTATGGTTTGGGGTAATTTGTATGTTTGGTCCGTAACTTATTTTTTTAACTTGGAAAGTCCCTATTGTTTGTTTTTGTTGCGCGCTTAGTCCATGTCTTACCTAAAAAGACTATTTCCCTTGATTTTAAATTTATTTAAATAAACACACCCCAACCCCACTTCCACATCACCTTACCTTATATTACCTACTTCACCTTATTTAAATAAATTAAAAAAATCAAGGGCAAAATAGTATTTTTAGATAAGACAGGGACCAAGAGCGCAACAAAGACAAACTGTAGGGACCTTCTGAGTTAAAAAAATAAGTTAGGGACCAAATGTGCAAATTATCGCAAACCATAGGGACCATTCGTGTAATTTACTCTTTACTTATATATGATGTATGACATTTTACGCATCACGGGTACATTGTCAAAGCAACTTCAAGAAAAAAAAGATCTAGACATGTTAGAAGCGGCTTCGATGGTTAGATGGACAATGGTGACATTGAAATCTTTAAGAAACACAGGGTTTGCTAGCATTTTACCAAAGATATCACCTTTTTGTCAAACACACAATATTGCTACTTTGGAAATGGATGATTTTTATGTTGGTGCTAGAAACCGTACGACCACAAAGACTAAAAGATTTCATTTTGAGGTTGAAATCTTCAACACGGTGGTGGATAAACAAATTACAGAATATCGGGATCGATTTAGTGAAACAAACACCCAATTACTAGTATACATGGGTGCTTTGAGCCCATGTGATTCATTTGCACAATTTGACAAATCAAAGTTGTTGAAGTTGGCTACGTTGTACAAGTATGACTTTGATGATTCAGATTTGATAGATCTTGAGGGACAACTTGAGATATTTTCTCTCTCTCTCTCTCTCTCTCTCTCTCTCTCTCTCTCTCTCTCTCATGCATCAAAGATGAGCGCTTTACTACTTTGAAAGGCATTTCCAACCTTTCTCGTTTGATGATTAGTATGGGGAAACATCAATCTTATCTTTTGATTTATAAGCTTTTACAGTCGACTTTAATTTTACCTGTAGCAACCGCAAATATTGAAAGATGTTTTTAGAAGATGAAGCTCTTGAGGACCGATTTGCACAACAAAATTGGCGATGACTTTTTGAACGACGCATTGCTTTGCAATGTTGAGACCGAAGTACTTATGAAAGTTACGAATGAAAAAGTAATTGAACGTTTCAAAAAGATATCTGCACGAAGATGACAAATCTGATTTGTAACAGATTGTTGTTATTTTTCAACTTTTTATGTAATTGATCGCTTTTTTGTATTAGATGTAATGAATTATTTTTCGGTTTTATATTATGTTTGACCGGATTTTTTTTGGCAACATCTATTATCAATTCCTGCGTCCGCCCCTGTCATACTGAACAAATGTCGGCATAAAATCAAATAAAAAAATTGACTCGTGGTGAAACCACAGATACACACTCGTTTGTAATTGTATATAAGGGTGTTCAAAAATATCTGATATCCGATACTTGTTCCGGAAATCCGATCCGAAATTATCCGGAATTTCAGATATCCAGATATTCGGATTCGAATACGGATATTGATTTTTCTAGAATATTCGGATATTTCGGATATCTAATATCTGAAATGTATTTAACTATTAAATATTTTTACAATGTAGTTATGTTTTGTAATTAAACTCAAGATTAAAAATCTTGAAATTTAGCTGATCTTTTTTATTGGATGACTTCTATATAGTCAAATTGGTTTGATTTTACATAATTCTTTAATCTTTCCTAGCTTCATTCTTTTAAATGGTTCATAGTTATTTATTATTACCAAAAACTCATGCAAACACGTTAAAAGTTTTCAAAACATGTTATTACTTGCGTGATGCTATTGGACAACTTGGAATTAACTATAAACTGCTTAAATTAAAGTTTGAATGTATTAAAATATTATGCCACTGATGAAATAAAGTAAAAATCAACAAAAAATGAATGTTATAATTATTTATGTTAAATGACTAATTGATATTGTATTATTAGTTTTATTTTTATGTTAAATTGTAAATTAAGTTTGTATTTAGCTGGTTGTAGATTACTATTTATTATTTTCAAATTATACAAATTGAAATTTTCGGATTTCCGTTTCGAATATCCGAATTCATATCCGAAATTTCAGATTGGGATTTGGATATTGAAAATTCACTATTCGAAATTTCGGATATTAGGTTTTGAACACCCCTAATTGTATAGTTTTAATAAGTTAACACACATTCGATGATATATTTGTAAATTTTGTACTTTTAATAAATTAATTTCTTTTTTATGATAGTATGATAAATAATGTTTTAAAACTAGGTTTCCGAAGAATAAATTAATTACATGTATTTCAATATTTTATATATAGATGGGTAATTAGTATGTGAATATAGAATGTATAACAAAATTTAGACAAATTATTTAAAAATATGGATAACAATATATAGGTAATCTAAGTAATTAATTAAATTTATATTAAACCTATAAATCAGGAGAATCTCTCTCTCTCTCTCTCTCTCTCTCTCTCTACACAACATCTTCTCATGCTTCTCATGCGGTTGTTTTCTTTAATTTACCATACCATCTTCACCCCTCAAACAAGATTCTCTTATTTTTTAGGGTTTTTGTGTGATAAATCACACTATGGCACCAACCAACATCACCATGATAGTGTCACTAGTTCATCATCTTCCCCTGCCACCACCATCTTGACAGAAACTTAAACCACCATGAACCATCACCGGTTCAATCGGCTTCACACCTCCACGCTAACCCACCTTCTGGACCAGGAAAACACCTTCGAGCATTTATTTTTTGCAATCTGTACAATAATTTTTTCCATTGAAAAAATATAGTTGCAAAATCTCTCAGTTCTCATGGATATCGCAAAATCCCAACCATAGGTTAGCTTCTATACTCAATTTATGCAGTTAATTATGACATTGATCGTCTTCACATGATTTATTTAGTCTATAATTGAATTTCAAGTTTCATTTTATGCAATTTGCACTTGTTTTATGCATTTAAGTTTCTTTTGGCTATAATTTTTGTAACAGTCCCAAATTTCAATCCAAATTTTTTATTTTTTGTAATACCCTATTTCGAATCGTTTTATAATTCGGGGCCTTGACTCGAAGACCATTTATCATAAGGCTTTGGGCCTTGGGGGAAAGAGAGATTTAGACCCCTTTGGATGTGGTTAATGTAGATTAGATGATCCGAGAGTTCGATTGGTGCTTTGGAGCCCAATGATATAACCGTAAAGTGATAGTTCGAGCCTTTTATGAATTTTGGATTTATGTTCAGAAAGTTTTAAGGCAAAGGAGGGTTTATTGGGTTGTAGAGCTTCTCATTACCTTTCCATGGATATAAAGATCGTCGAAATCGAAGTTGAAACGGATAAGTTACAACCGTTTGAAGTTAGACAATTTTTGGGTCTGTTGCGTACGCGGGGCGTATGGGGAGTACACGGGGCATACTAGGGCATCCCTAGTATGCTAGGCGTACTCAACATGTACGATGGGCGTACTAGGGCATCCCTAGTACGCTGGGCGTAAATTAAGTACGCATGGCGTACACGATCAGTGCCCAAACTCTATTTTCGTGGTTTGTGCCCTACTTAAGCTCCTTAACTTCCCCAAACCCACTCCATTCTCAACCTCCACCTCTCCAACACCCTCTCTTGAAACCCTAATCCTAGATTGATCATTGTGAGAAAACAAGGTGTTTTTAAGTGCTTTGGAGTGTTTTTGGTGCACCATGGAGAAGAAGGAACTCATGGAAGAAGTGTTGGTTGCATTGGAACTTGTAGATCCAAACTTTGTTCACCTTGATCTTTCTTATAGAGGTATAACGTTTGAATCTTGATGATGATATTGTTAGATTTATCTATTTTGAGTTTTATGAGCTTTTGGTCACTTTAAGTGCATAAAGTTTAGATCTTGAAATTTTGTGACCTTGTTATGGATAAAGTTGGAAACTTTATCCATCTAAACATCATTTTGATTCAGATATGAAGGTTGGAGACTTGGACTTAATGGATTAAGTTGAAAAAGATGCACTTTTGTGTCCCTATGATACTTAAAGACTAGATCTCGTTTGTTGGGACCGTTCTAATGGATAAAGTTGGAAACTTTATCCATTATGAAGCTATTATAAATCATAAAAATGTTTGCTTGATTTTTTCCTTAGAACCATGCAAGAGTTAAGTGGTTTTGAGTGTTGTGAAAGTAAGGATTTTGGAGATTTAGCCCTCTTTAGCCATGAAAAGGCTTAAAGGTTTCGACTTTATGGTTTAAGACATTATTTAGGGTTAATATAAGAGTTTGGACATCTTGAATTAACCCAATAAAAGCTTAATGGTCAGTTTTGGCCTCTGATGAGTACGTTGGGCGTACGTAGGAGTACGCTCAACGTAATGCTTGGATGGTGCATCGAGAACTTTTACATTGTGCTTCGTGGTTGAGTACGTGGTGCGTACGTCTCTGATACGCAGGTGTATTCCCCAAGATGGACATTTTGGGCTTTTTAGGGATTGGGCCTTGTTGGGCCATTGGACTTTTGACTTTGGGCCATGGATTGACTGTGGGCCTTCTTGGTATTGGTCCCATGATAGTTTTTGGGCCCAATTAGGAAATTGGGATATATTGGGCCTTGGGTTGCTATTTAGGAATTTGGGCTTTTTGGAGCAAATGGGATGGGCCCAGGTTTTGGGCCAAATAAGGAAAGGGTAAAATGGTATTTTACCTTGGTTATGGATTAAGTGGCTTTGATTCGTATTTTGGGTCAAGATCCGATTAGTAATTGGATAATTATTTGATGGTGCTAGCACGCAAGGATTTCCGGATCAGCATACTGAGAATTTATTGAGAGATTCAACGGATTGAGGTGAGATTCCTCACTGTGTTTGGCGGGTCGAAGGCACTAATGCCGACCCATGGTTTATTATGGTTAGGATGCTAGTTGTGTGTATGACTCTTACATTTATAATAGCGGTTATGTGTTTGTATTTATGCCGGGCGGGGCCCGATGAATGTATTGTATGATATTTATCTTTGTGATACTTGCATGTTCTTATATGATTGTATGTATGTTGGGCGGGGCCCGATGACTGATATATTTGTTTCGGGCAGGGTCCGATGCTCGGTGGGGCCCGATGTTGGGCGGGGCAAGTTATGCAAGTTAGGGCGAGGCTCGTTATACTCATTGGGCGGGGCCCGTTATGCGAGTTAAGGAGAGGTCTGTTACACTCACTAGGCAGGGCCCGTTACTTGTATAGTATGTTGTATTTTGGGGAACTCACTAAGCTTCGTGCTTACGGTTTTCAGTTTTTGGTTTCGGGTATTTCCGGTTCAAAAGGGAAGGGCCCGGCTTGATCGCAGCGCATCCACCCATGTTTATGCAACATGTCGATTTTGGGATTGTACTCTGATAAATCTGTTACTTCGAATGTTTTTGTAAGATAACTGGTATTTTGATTATGTTAAAAATGAAATTTACCTCTTGATTTTTGGGACATTACATTTTTAAATTAAAGTAATCAACCAAAATCCTTTTCACCAAAGTATATCAAACACAACCATTTGTTCCAAAACATGTCACATTATTTTCAAATCATAATAATAATAAAAGTAGTGAAATCAAATCAATAGAAGTCTCCAAAAACATGTTCATGGATACAATAGTCACGCCGCGCCTTTCCCTTGCTACCAGACCAACCTGAAAATATTTAAATTAAACGCGTAAACACAAAACCTAGTGAGTTCCCTAAGATACCACATATACAAAATAATCCTATAGTCCAACCATAGTCTTGTCTGCTATAGTCCAACTGTAGTCTTTCCTACTATAGTCCAACTATAATCCAACTAGAGTCTATCCTGCTATAGCCTAACTATAGTCTTTCGTGCCATAGTACAACTAAAGTCCAACTATAGTGTTTCCTGTTATAGTCCAAATATAGTCTTTCCTAATATATTCCAACTATATAGTTCATACAGAAGTTATAAAGACATCCTATCAATCACGACATCTAATGTTCTATATAGTATAATGAGAAAACTCATATGAGTTTACCATCAGAATCTTAACTATAGCAAGGGAAAAGGGAAGAAAGCTCTCCAAGTCTCACCACCAAAGAAGAAGGAGAAAGTGGCAAATGATGACACCTTCTTTGAGTGTGGAGTTATTGGTCGTTGGAAAAAGAATTTTCCTACTTATCTTGCAGGGTTGAAAGCCAAGAAGGTCGAGGAAGACACTTTAGGTATATCTATTTTCATGATTGAAATGAGATTATTTACTTTTTCATCTAACACTTGGGTATTTGATACTGTTTGTGGAACTCACATATGTAATTCGTTGTAGAGGTTCAAAAAGAGTAAGGAGCTAAAAGTAGGCAAAGTGGTATTACATGTCGGCAATGGAGCACCAGTTGTAGTCCAAGCGATAGGACATTTTGAATTATGTTTATCAAATGGCCTATATTTTAGTATGAGTCGAGGGTTCAAGTCTCGTTCGGGACATAGGTGGTGTTAGAATTAGTTTAGTAGGAGTATGTTAGATTTGTTGTTCCAAAAAAATGGCTCGTATTTATTGCTAGTCAATGTATGCTTGATTACTACTATAATAAGAAATGTCATTTCAGTTTTCCATTTAAAGAAATCTGGTTTTACTCATCAATTTGTTGATGATAATATTCATTCATTCTTGAATGAAATATTCTATTTTGAGGCTAGACCAATAAATGAAATTTATGAATTAAAACCCTCATGATTTTGTAAACAATAAATCCATTTATCATGTTAACACATTAAAAGCATGTTCGGCACACAACGTTTGAGAGCTTCTGACTTCTAGCTTTTAAGGAAACGCTAGTAAAAAAAGAAAAGTCTCGTTCGGCGACAGGAGCGTTTAACTTTTCACCTCAACAAAACGCTCCAAAATCAAACGTTACCCGCTACCAGCTACCCGCTAACCGCTACCAGCTAGTTTTGCCGAACACGCATTAAGTGTTGTAAGTCCATTAAATCATAAGAAAAAACTACAAAGCACATGTAGGCTAAAATATTAAAATTGTTGGTTTGTTCCCATTTGGCAAGAAACCAAATAGTTTGTGGATCATTATGTAAATTTCATATGAACAGAGAACATTTGACATGAGTAACCTTCCAATCAAATCGGGGCCGCAAACCAACTCCTCCGTGGCGCCATTTGGTCCTCTCTTAAAGTAGCGTTCTTCATTTTCTCTTCTACACAAAGTCGAATACTTCCATAACACTGTGATTACTTCAAACAACCCTTGCAAATTTCCTTGTTCACGTCCAAAAAATGTCGAAATTGTTTACATTTAGACCAGACACCAATTTATCATGTCTTTCACAGCACAAATTTCGCCGTTCCTCGAACAAACGGTTCTTAAAACCATCATCATCACCATGTTTACTAAATTCAAGGTCTTTAAAAGTTTCTTGTAGCATCAGGGAGAAAGAAAATATCGCAGAAAACGAGAGAATTTCTCCGATAGTTACCGGGCTAAAAGTTGATGATGAATTAGGGGAGAAACCTGGAATTGGGATTGAGAAATTAGGGCTGGAAAACTTGAGTTGGCCTCCTTGGAAGAATGTTCCTCAAAGATATAAACTCATTGGCACTACCTCACTTGCTTTTGTTATTTGTAACATGGATAAGGTAATCTCGATTTTTCGTATTTCCAGTTTCAGGTTTCCTTTTGCTCATGATCATTTGAGATCCTGTACGAAGAAATTACTGATTTTCCATAAACCGAAACCTAAAACTGAATTTCTTGTAGGTAAACTTGAGTATAGCCATTATCCCAATGTCGCATCAGTTTGGATGGAGTTCATCTGTTGCAGGATTAGTGCAATCATCATTCTTCTGGGGATACGCTTTGAGTCAGTTACCCGGTGGTTGGCTTTCAAAAATATTTGGTGGGAGGTTAGTCTTTAATCGAACATTTGTGCACTTTAGTTAACGATCATATGAATATGATCAATAATACATCATCATGTTCCATTCACCATTGCTGCTTCATGAATCATGATGCAGGATTGTTCTTCAATTTGGCGTTTTGACATGGTCACTTGCCACAGCACTGGTTCCTGTTGTTGCTGGATTTATGCCTGGGCTTGTTTTTTCAAGGATTCTTGTAAGCTGCTTTCCTTCTGTTCAAAGAAATCTTACCAATTTTCTAATTTCTATAAATATTTGTGTTTTTTAATTCCCATAAATTCTCAGGTTGGAATTGGAGAGGGGGTATCACCTTCAGCTGCCACAGATTTGATTGCTAGGTATGTGAATATGTGATTAAAAGATGTGAATGTGGGTCCCATTTCTTCAGTCAACTTCATTGACCATGCCTTTGACCTTTTATTGCAGATTAATTCCATTGGAAGAACGTTCAAGAGCTGTCTCATTTGTATTTGGTGGTTTAAGTGTTGGAAGTGTCTTAGGGTATGTAATATGTTACTTTATTTTTAAAACAAGCATAAATCTATGTCATTTTGTTATATAAAAACATTTTTTTAACCAATTGACAAACTCCAGGCTTCTTTTAGCTCCCCCTTTGATTGAATCATTTGGATGGGAATCTGTATTCTACATGTTTGGCTTGTTTGGAATTATGTGGTAAGTAAATGTAGTCAAATTAATACTATTTGAATAAACTGTTGTTCTTTCTGTGTACTTGGGTATTGATTTAATATATAACTTTGTGTTTAAAGGTTTTTAGGGTTTCAATTTGTTGCAGAAGACCAACCTTCAATCAACTCTGGATCATTATCAAGTAAGAACATCTGTTTTTTTACTTTTATAAATAACCCTGGTCAAATAGTTAATGTAATAAATACGATTACAAAAACCTATTTTTGAAATAATGATCAAACCTTTATATAACCAAATTGACATTTTCCACACAATAGGTTGAAATCGCCTCCTCTAATTGATGCCATTGGTTAATTCTAGAACATTTCTTTATTTTGGATTATGGGTATTTTGGGTATTTGTCGAAACCTAAGCCAAAATTATTTTATCTGTCATGAACTCGTGTAAAATTACAGGGTCTCAGTCAAATCCAAAGTCAAAATCATGGGAAACTTCTATGGAAGAATTTGGTGGCTCCCTAAACGTAAGAAACATAATTATTTTTCTAAATTTCCTCATTTTGCACCTTATATTTTTCAATTTATGAAACTTAATTTGATTTATTTTTCATATATAGGTACCATGGAAGTCATTTTTCCAAAGTAAAGCTGTATGGGCGATGATATATGCTCATTTTTGTGGAAGTTGGGGTCATTATTGCTGTTTATCTTGGCTTCCTACTTATTTTAGGTCATAGTTATAAATAATTACAATTTTTCCAAAAACAAAAAGTTATAAATAATTACATTTCCCATTAAATGTTCGATTATGATATGCAGTGAGGAGTTGGACTTGAATCTTACAGAAGCTGCATGGGTATTTCCGTAAATCAAAATCTTTTTTTATTATTATTATTTACAGCATTATCTATTTCTTACATTTAGGCTTAATTTGAATTTAGGTTTCTGTTCTTCCTCCACTAGCTTCAGTTGTTGTTACAAGTTTCGCATCACAATTTGCAGACAACTTAATCTCTAATGGAGTCGACACAACTGTGGTATGTTCATTGTTCATGCACGTGGGACCCACAAGAAGTTTGATTTTTAAATTTTAATTTTTAATTTTTATAAAAATCATTGTGTAGGTTCGCAAGATATGTCAAACAATTGCATTTTTATCCCCTGCTGCATGTATGATTTTGTCATCTGTTGACTTAGGGTTGCCTCCATGGGAAGTTGTTACTATTCTTACTGCTGGTTTAGCATTATCAAGTTTTGCTTTATCAGGTAATGGGCTCAATCCATATTTTTTCCTTAATGGGCTTAAATGGTCTTTTAATGGGCTTAATTGATATGGTAATCTATGAGTGTTTCTTTTTGACTTGAAGAAAGTGTAAAGTACACAGAAAGTACTTTCCATTAAGTTTTAGTATTTACAAATTTGCACTAATTTCTTTTTTTTTCGTACATTGCCTCAAGTGTATCATTGTTTTAAAAAATATATTTTAAACATTTAAGGGAAAAAAAAGAAAGAAATAGAGCCTTAATATTGTCATTTATTTGGGTGCAGGACTTTATTGTACACATCAAGATATTTCACCTGAATATGCAAGCATACTTTTGGTATGTTCAATTAATTCCAACCTTTGCTTTAAATGAGTTTGTGTGTGTGTGTGTGTGTGAGATTTAATATCTTCATTTTGTGTCTTATTCACAAGACATTGGTGAAAAAATAAATATGAGACCCATAAATTGTAGTAAATGGCATAGTCACAGGCTATGTTTCTTCCTTTTAAGTTAGAAATTGTGGGACCCATTTTAATTTTTTTTGCATAAAGAACACTATAGTTTACAAGAATGACGATTTTAGACATATCATGGAAACATATATGCAAAAAAAAGAACATTGTAGTTGTACTAAACTCCTTTTATCTGAAATTGCTTATTGTACTCAAGAACGACATTTTTATGCAAGTTTTATGTTAAAACTCAATAGTTGTCAAATTAAATATTAGACCCTTAAATTTGAATTATGCATGCAGGGCATCACCAATACAGTAGGGGCAGTTCCTGGAATTGTAGGTGTTGCTCTCACTGGATTTCTTCTTGATTCAACACATTCATGGAGTGTAAGAGTTTGATTAAAACCTTAATTTCCATTTCTTTAATAAAACTAATTTTAATAAAAAAAATTTCTAATATCATGTACAGATGTCACTCTTTGCACCTTCAATTTTCTTCTACCTCACGGGTACAATCGTATGGCTAGCATTTGCAAGCAGTAAACCTCAATCATTCAAGAAAATAGATTGAAAAGCATAAGTTGACTTTATTGACCACAACTAACTTGGATCCCTTCAACAATTTTGATAGAAGGTGACTATAGCCTATAGCTTTTACTAACCAAACTCTTGTATTTATATGAATTTGTAGCTATAATTATAAAACTTCTTGTAAATCTTTTGCTTTGTTATAAAAGTTTAAACAACTTTTGTCTCCTTATGGATTGTGACTAAAAAAGTGAATAGGAAAGAATAAAGATAAGTAGATAACCCTTTTGCATAAACATAAATCAAGACTATAAAAAAGTGTCAAATGAGGAATATATCTATAATTCAATAACAAAAATGGAACTGATTCTCATGTTCCATTTCATGTGAATTTGGTAGTATAGCATTTAATTACTACTACAAGCATACAAAGTAAGATGAGGAATATGAGCAAATACAATAGAAAAAGGAGCAACACGTATAGGCATTGAAGAGTTCACATGTATAGGCTCCAATGGTGGAATCTCTTGAGATGAAGTTATTTCCAACTCTTTTCCATTAAGCTTCATTACTTGACTATGTAAATCCCCATTTTTTGGTGTTAAATGATATTCTTCTCTTGTTCCTATTCCACCAGTCTTATTATTTCTTGGATTGTTTGCTTTATGATGATGATGATGATGATGAACAAGAGATCTTAATTTATGCTCCCTCTTCCAATTCATATATGAAGACAAACTTACATCCACTGTAGTTGTATTGTCTAGATTGATCAGTAAACCGTTATTCCCATCTGCAATATAGGAAATTACTTTATTACCCTTCGAGTTTATGTCCCTATATTATACTCAATGAGATAAAAATTGTAATTTTGTGAAAAAGACGTAAATGCCCTTTTCATCTTCATCATCAAAAGTAGAAAACTTACAGATTCTTTAGCGCAATGTGCATAAGATCGTATTTTCTTGGTCCCTGTAAAATTTGTGGAAAGGACTTTTCTACCCATCAACCGATGCCAAAGAAGGGCACTGTTAAGATTTAAGAAAGAACTCACATCAAATTACAATCTTTGAAGGATGTTAATTTACAATTTTGACCTCAAAAGTCAAACCTGTAGTAATCTGGATTTGGTTCAAACGTTGTAGTGTTGAGTAAACCATAGTTTCCTCCTATCAATGTTTGTCTGCAGTATGTTTTCGTGTCATAAACAGATGACATCCCTAGCTGATCCAAATACCTGTTAAAACAATAGCCACAAAAGGGTATTTTAGTCTCTTTTTTTTTCGCATCCAATAGAAAAAAAAAAAGATTAAAACTTGATTGGTTACCAGAAACTAAACACAAATGCATTTGTGACAAGATTATGTCCACTGTTATAAGCACCACCAGCTTCACCAACCCAAGCAGAAGCAGAAGTTATAGAAGTCTTGAGAATATTTTCAAGTTGTCTAAATGTATCAGCTTCTCCATCAAGATAAGATGGATCCAATATCTTTTCAACAAGATGTTGATCTACCCCTGTTTGGAAATCCAAAAAAGATTCCAACTTTTGAGTTTTCACATCTAGAAATTCAAATAACTCATTTCAAATTTCTAAAAAAAGGTTTAAATCCAAAGAAATAGCAACATATCTTCATTTCTATGTCTTAATAAGAAATTGTGAATGAATGAAAGTACATTGCTATTTCTTTCATTTAAAAAACAATACCTGGGCCAAGATTGTATATGTGATGAGTGATTATGTCTAGAATTTCGGGTGTTTTGTCTATAAACTCTTTGAACCAATTAGCATCAAAGAAACCACCAGGTGCAATTATCCTTGGTTTAATCTCAACACCTTCATAGATTTCTTGAACTATGTTTGCTAGGGTTCTTGTGTCAAAAGCATATTGAGATGCTGATACTCTTGTTCCAACTCCACTTCCACTCAACTCATTCCCTATAAAAAAAAAAATTCAACAATTTAAAACCATTTTCAATAAAAAAATTCATGAATTGTAACAAATAATTGAACTTACCAAGTTCCCAAGCATACATGGTGTAATTCTTTTTAACTGTATAACGCATTAAATATTCAGAATTTGCAGAGTCCCAAGCTCCTGTAGCTGAACCATCTGCTTGAATTGTCTTCCCAGAAAGTGCATTTAATCCAAAAATAATATTAGCCCTGAATTAAAAGTAAAGAACATTTTCGATAAAATATAACAACATGCTATAAATGGAAAGATTTTTCAAAAAGTTAAAGTGGGTTGTTGATATTTATGGTTACCCTGTGTCTTTAAAGAATGTGTTGAGTTGATCCCATCTGGATAAAGGTAGGCATCCATTAGTCCAACCGAATAACATTGAGTTGTTTTTTGAGAATTGATTACATGGTTTTTGGATATCGTATTCTGTTTGGTAAATAAGTTTGTCTTGTAAAGTTCCTCCTAATCTGATCTTTAGTGTTGAGAAAGCTGCATAAATTGTTAAAAAAATATATTTTATGTTAATATTTTGGAATTGAAAGTAATGTGTCAATGGAGAAATTCTTAGTTCTCATTACCTTTGATGGCATTCTGGAAAATTTTGTTGTTTAGATCCTGCGTAGTAAAAGAAATTAATAGCAAGTAATTAATTGAATTTATGAATAGGAAACAGAAACATGAAATAGTAAATAGTAAATAGTAAATAGTAAATGACTTTTTGAATTTTTGTAACTGTCGTTTCATTGCAAATCAATCGCTGTTCTTCACAAAATACTAAAAGATTGATTATTTTTGGACAAATTACTTTTAACATAAATCCAAAATTTATCTAAATTTGCTTGATTCTATCAGAGTAAAAAACTCAAAAACATCTAAATCAATTACTGTTCTTCATAAAATAGTAAGAGCGTTTTTTATTTTGAGCTAATTAATTCGAGTATAAATCCAAAATTTATCTAAATTTGCTTGATTCTTGCATAGTAAAAGATGACGAAATGAAATTTGACGCCGAAGAACAGTAACGATCTAAAATTTATAAATATCACATGAAGATTTAGTTGCAACTTGCAATATCATAAAATCACACACTAAACACACCTCAAAACACACATATAAATCCAATTTTTATCTAAATTTGCTCAATCTTGTAAAGTCAAAAACTCAAAAATATTAAGTAATAATAATCGATGCCAAAAATGCCAACAACGTGAAATTTATAAAAATTACATGTAAATTCAGTTATTTCAGTAATTCACACACTAAAAAGTAAAACACACCTCAAAACATACACAAATTGGACAAATTTTACTGTAAATCCAAAATTTATCTAAATTTGTCCATTCTTGAAAAGTCAAAAACTAAAAAAATATCAAGAAATAGTAATTAACGCCCAAAACGGCAACAATTTAACTTTTTTAAAAAAAAAACCCATGTAGATTCATTTGCGACATCATCAAATCACACACTAAACGCACCTCAAAACACACACACACACACAAAAGTTTCAAAACAGAAAAGAAGAAAACATACCACATTGAGGAGGGAAGCACGACCCCAGCTACATGTGCCATAATCACACTTCTCAGGTGGCCACCAATCCATAGTAGCACAAATAAAGTCGCTATCAATCTTTGCAATTGAACTTTTTCCATTAATGACAAGAATACCCTCAACTACATCAGTTACAGCTTCAGTTTGCGAATCCACAAGATTGCAACTGAAACTGATCAAAAGAACCAAAATGCAAACACCCATTTGAAAATTCAAAGAACCCATCTCGAAAAAACTGAGCTTTCTTATAATATGAAGCTCAAGAATGATATATATAGATTTATGTATGTATATATATAATATTCTGTATCTATCTGTTAATGGGGACAGACATGGAAGATCAGAAGGAGATGAAAAGATGTAAAAATTCTTGCTTTGTCATAAAAGGGGGAAAAAGATTTGGGTTTCTTGAATATTTTATAAATGGGAACCAGTCAAGATTTGGTGTTTGGATTTGGGGTTTTGAGCATATTTATGGAGATTAATTGGAAGTGGGATATGGGTGGGGGTGGGGTGGGGTAGGGTGTGTGAGCTGTGTTTATGCTTTGCTTTGGGAAAGTTGAAAAGGATCGCTGAACATACGGGGAAAACGGTGGTGACTAGTGAGGGTTTTGTTGTAGGTAGTAACCTAACCAAAACCTTTTGGGGGGGGGGGGGGGGGTAGGGTAGGGTAGGGTAGGTGGGGGTGGGTGGGTAGGGGTCGGGACCTTGGATGGGTGATGCCGAAAATGGAAAATGGATCATCCGATCATGGATGGGTTGAACTTACTAAAGTTTTCACCTGCCTTATTTTAATAATCTTGCAAGTGGTGCCATTATTTTTTGGAAGTTTTATATACTTTTGTACATATAATGTTAAATTCTATTTTATATGATATTTAGTTAAGAAAAAAACAAAATGAAATAGTTTGGATTCAAGAAATATTCGGTAGGGTTTTACAAGAAAGATCACTATACCAAATTGAAACCTTTTTTTTATGGATGTTTACGTTTTTGTTTTGTTTCGTTATTGACATTGAAGTGAACTAGAAACAGTTTTATACGTTTTATGTTTACAAAATTATAAATGTACAAATATAACTTTTTTTTAATATGGTTGATACTAGAAGTTTATATGGAAATTGGATAATTGTTTTGAAATATATGTATTCCCTTTTTATGGTGTAAAATGCCAATCACAAGTTGCATGTGTTGTTATAACAAAAAGTAGTTACCAAACTATTGATAATATATTAGTATGCGACATTAATATATACTTTGGAAACACCTTTTCTTTAACATTTAAAGGGTACTATATTTTAAATACAAAAATTCAAGCTTTCTTTTTAGTTTTAATTTCCATAATGTATTTATTTTTTACACAAACTTTTTAGATATAAATAGTTTTATTTTAAAGGTGAATAAGATATATCAAAGAAACATGACGGAATGTGGGAACCATAGAAATAATTATGGTCACATGGAACGTTCTAATGCCTCAAATTTTCTTAAAAATAAAGAAAATCAATAAATCTAAAATATCATTTTATAGTTGGAGCCAATTGCTTGAATGGCTATTGTCACATGAAGCTTGTTTTTTTTTCTTATTCTATATTTATGATAACCGATGGACTTAATTTTTTTTCCATTTTATTAAATCTTTAGTTTAGGAAAATGGGAATAAAAAAGAGGTATAGTTTTTGTTAGACTAATATTTTTATTCTTGTATGATTTTATATAATTTAGTTTGCGGAAAAATTGAAAAAAATCATGAAAATCACAAAGTTGCTTTTCAATGATTTTCCAGGGTTTTTTTTGTTAGACTAATATTTTTATTCTTTTTGATTTTTTATAATTTAGTTTGCGGAAAAGTTGAAAAAAATCATGAAAATCACAAAGTTGCTTTTCAATGATTTTTCAGTTTTTTTAATTTTATTTATTTATTAATTTATTTTATTTTGTGTGTGTAAAGAAACTGTATAAATACCACCGTTCGTCTAAAGACATATGTATAAATACCACCATTCGTCTAAAGACATATTTCTATAAATTTAAACGAAGCTCCATGTAGTCAAATTGGTTAAGATGTGGGCATTAAGGTGTTTGCTTTTCTTTAGATTATATATTAATTTATAACCCGTAATTTATAACCCGTAATTTATAACCCGTAAGAACCACGGTAACAAAATTATTAAACTTTCATAGTAAAGATTCATAATTATTAATCAATTATTTTAAATAAATCATTTTAAATAAATTATTAATTAAAAGATATATCAAAATTTTAAAGTTATTATAACTTCAAATTTAACATATAATTAGAAAAAATAAATTTGAATTTTGAAGTGATTTGCCTAATATATCTCTATGATATATGACATAATGTTATAATATTAATGAAGAGTTGTATTAGAGTGACATATGACAAAATGAAATTAAAGCTATTTTTTTATTAGAATTAGAAAGAAAAGATTTAAATCATTTAGCAAAAAAAATTTTAAGAAAGAAATTTCCTTTTCAATTTAAAATACCCACAACTTCTACCCACAACCACCAATATAAAAACAAATATATTTTTATTATTTGCATGGGGTAATGATTGGGTAATATATTTTTCGATTTGTACATATTTAGTCACTGATGTTTTTTTCGTCCATATTAACCCCTTCAGCTTGTTAAATTGTACACATTCAGTCCTTATGACTGACTACTCCAAGTTAGCCAGTAAAAATGAATTAATAAGGTAATATATTTCTCACTTTATATACATTTAGTCCTTAATATTTTTGTACACATTCAGTCATTAATATTTTTTTGTTGCAAAATAAGTCATTTTTGTTTTTGTACTCATTTAATACTTATGACTGCTTTCTTTAGGTTTTTTTTTCTCACGACATCTTACATGAGACGACTTTTAATGAGGTGTTTGGGGTTTTGATGCTTATGTTCATCACGATCTCGACTACTTGTGTAACACCCTATTTGAAAGTACTCGGTTTGAGTATCGGGAACCAAAGGGTAGAGGCGATTCAGTCTTTTATGGGTCTCGGGTTTTATCTGGAAGGTTTTGGACTTGGAGGTGTCGATGGGAGCGTAGGGAATCCCGCCACCTTTTCGTGGATATAAAGTTCTGAAACATCCCAAAAATCAAGACCAAAATTTCATTTTTAAACCATTAGTTAAACCATAATTATAAAGCCATTCATCCAAAATCATAAGTCATTATCTCATATCAGAGTATCATTTCAAACACTAATTCATTTTATCAGAGTAAACATCCCAGGCTAAACTTCTTGGTGTGTGTCATGCGATCATCCCGAGCTTTTCCCTCCGCTACCAGAAGTACCTGAAACCAAAACTGAAAACCGTAAGCACGAAGCTTAGTGAGTTCCCCAACCTACCACATACCATACACATAACCACATACTGGGCCTTGCCCACTGCATTGGGCCCCGCCCGACATCAGACCGAAGTCCAGCATAACTTGGGCCCCGCCCACTGCCTCGGGCCCTGCCCGACATCGAGCCCCGCTCGGTATACATATATGTTCTCTTAGGCCCCGCCTGTCTCTGGGCCTCGCCCGCTACTAACATATACAAACATGCGACATAACACATATCATAAAGCTAAACATACTATACTGTACTACTGATCTAAGGCCTCGCCTAACTTGGGCATCGCCCCTGTCCTGCTACTGATGAGTCATGGAACCCCGTCCACGCTCCTGCTGGTAGTGAGATACGGGCCCCCACCCACACTCACCTCTCTACTAACTCGGGCCTCGCCCCTGCTCTGCTACTAATGAGATAAGGAACCCCGTCCATACTCGGCTAGTGATGAGATACGAGACCTCGCCCGACTCACCTCCCTACCAGGCACATACAAGTATCACAAAGACAACAAGCATAACTACACAAACACTACTGCCTCGGGTACCACCCGACATCGGACCGAGATCCGGAATAACATACTAGCATACCATGCCTAGGGCAAACCCCCAGGTCTTCCTACTCATAACTACATGGGCCGACATTGTGGCCGTAGACCCATTCACACAAAGGGAAACTCACCTCGTACTGCTGAAGACCTACTGATACTCTTCTGGCTGCTAGCTGGCAATCCCCCGGACTGTTGATCCTTCAACTACCGAACTATCAATACCCCAAAGTAACACTTAGACCACAATATTCCAAAAGTCAATCCAAGTCAAACTTGGTCAAAGTCAACGGTCAAAGTCAACCTCCAGTTGACTTGACTCGCCGAGTTGGTCTATCAACTCGCCGAGTCCATGCTTCTCCAACTCAATACAACCACCGATCCTACACTTCGAGTCTAGCAAGCACTTGACGAGTTCTCCTTCAGTCTTACAATCGGGACCATCTTCAACCGACTCGCCGAGTTCATCTTTTTCTTATGAATGTCCAGATTATGACTCGCCGAGTTGTATGAACAACTCGTCGAGCCCATCTTCATAAATTAAGAAGATTGCCTTCGACTCGCCGAGTTCCTCATTGAACTCGCCGAGTACGATGATCTTCATGCCCGCTATGGACCCAGACTGGCTGAGTCCCATACCAACTCAACACATACCCTTTAACAGAAGGGTTTTAGGGCAAGAAAGCAGACTGGCTCGCCGAGTCCCATAAGTGAATCGCCGAGTCCCTCTATGTCCCATTCTATTCAGACGATTTCTAAGCCAAACAGCTTCTCCCAAAGGTAGATCTGGGCTCCTAAGATCGGTATAACACGTAAAGTCTCTGCCTTTTCTTCCATGCATGGCCTTTTGAGGATTAAAAGGCCATAATAACCCCTTAAAGTTTGCATGAGGGTTTCTAATGGCATAAAGCTTGCACCTTTATGCCTTAACCATTCTCAGGGACTCCAGATCTGAAAAGATCTTTGCTTGTGACGTCCTTGTCCCATAAATCAAGCTCCATGGACCAAAACTCTCATAAAATGGACATAAAGAGATCTAAGAAACTATAAACCAAGGTGAAGCCTTTATTACCAGAAAAGGATGGAAATGGGATGATGATGCTGGATCTAAACTCTCCTCCTCGTGCCTTGTTTCCAATCTTCCAAGAAGTGCACCTCCAATAAAACTTTTAGCTTCACAATGCTCAAGAATGGAGTTGGGTGGCTAGGGTTTCGTTTCTGGACCAGAAAGAGTGTCAAGGAGGCTGATGAGAGGTTATAATGTTCTTTAAATAGGGTACAAGGCTCGTATTTAGGGTTTCCCCAAACCT